AGTACAAAGAATGTTATTTAAGGAGCACATGACAATTTCTGTACTTTTATATAATAAAAGGTGAACATTCATAGGAAGCTCAACCTGCTAAATCGAGAGTGTTCACCCGATTTCTTCAGTTTTACATAACAGTTACGCCTATGAGCATCACTAAGCAGCATCTAAACCAATGATTCAGCTTCTCCCTATGCAGGTCCCTGTAAAGTGAGCTTGTCTCCTCCAATCAGCTTAGTGCTCCTCGATACCACTTCAGCGCTCCCCTGAGCCCATTCTCAGACAGGAAGAGGAAATAGTTAAGGCCAATAGAGGAAACGAGAGGTGGGATCAGATTCACGCAGGAGAGAAGAGAGGAGGGTTTTACTACGGGGAGTAAATGTCACTGAGAACGACTTCCCCCTCTTCAAAGAGCAGCAGTCAAACCCCGACAACTCCACTATACAGCAGAGTACCTTTCAGAGCCTTATCCAGCAAACAGTTAATGTAACACTCAAAGGGGGTAAAACTGTATAATGTTACATGTAATTACTCTCCAAACATACATTTCAGACACAGTTTTCTTAGTGAAAAATTAAATAGTGGGTGCTTGATGGAAAAGCTGATCAAAGCCAGTAGCATGTTCTCACAACATTATGAGTTGAAGTGTGGCAGCTGGCCAACGCTGCTTCCACCTCCTCTCTCTCTCTCTCTCTCTCTCTCTCTCTCTCGCTCTCTCTTCCCCCTCAGTCTATCCTCCTGTCACACTCCAGTGTAAACTACCCAATAAAGCAAACATGCCATAAAAAATTATCTCCAAATTCTTCAAATTATAGCTCTCACATTTCTGTTTTTATGAGGTAGAAAGTATTAGAGTAGTAACAAAATATCACACACTTCATCTGTTATGCGTCAAGTGGAATACGGCCAGGGAGAAGAAGAAAGGGCACCCATTTTCTCCTTTTAAGCGATTTGTCTCACGCTGTAATTGAAGCCAACAATCAGACAAAAAACATTAGGGTCATGATATTTATAAGGTCTGTTAAAAAATATGCTTCCAGAAAACAGGCCTCTATGTTATGGCGTTTTAATATTTCACAATATTCAGCTTTTTCACAAAGCAGGAATCTGTTTTTATTGATTTTTTTTTTACCAGCCGGGAACCAGGAAAGTGACATTTTTACACACAAATTACAAACCAAGTTGTGTTGAGGTCAAAAAGCCTTCTCAATCAATTAAGTCAAAGCATATGTCACAGTGTGCAGGAGAACTACAACTCACAATCATCAATTTAAAAATATCTGCTGTTCTCAAACACCCACAGCACTCACAAACCACTAGCAAACCACCCACATTCATTTTTTTTCAAAACCTACTTCTTCACTGATGCAATATGTTATGTATTTTTTATTTTCTCGTATCAGCCTTGATGTCTTAGAAATGTCTCTTTAGCCTGCTCTGCTTCTCGCAATCAGATGAGGTCACAGCAGTGCAATAGACTCAAAGAAAGACGTCCTTTTCTCTTCGATTTGTTACAAAACCAGCTAATAGCGGTCGGTTGCAGAGCAAATTTCATGTCAAAGGCAGCTGGAATGGTTCCATCAACTGGAGGATGTCCTCTGGCTAGGGTTAATGGGAGTGGAGTGGGGGGAAAGGAACTGCGGAAAAGCGCCAGAAGAACAAAATAAAGAACTTTTCAGCTCGGATCTCTTCCGAGTACTGCAGGGTCAAAAAACAGGGGTCAAAAACACAATGACATCCTAATCTGGCGTGCAGCTGCAATTGTGTGTTTGTGTGTGCATGTAATCCCCTCTGTGTGGTTCACGTCATGTCTCATTTCAGCCCAGAATCACACAAAAAGGTCACCATTTGACCTTTTCACAGCTCAAAATTGCTGCAGCGCTCAAGGCTTGTAAGTGTACACACACAGAGACACACAGACAAAAATTGATACTCACTCAAAGCAGAGAAATGAAAGTAATACAGCACTGAGCTGAAAGCACATCGAAGGCTTTGTTTGCAATCTTGGCCAACTGCACTGTGTAGGTTCAATTATCCAAACATGTTACTCTTGGATCCAAAATCAAAGACAGCGACTGGCTTCCTTTGTTATTTCAATGAATTCAGGTTTTTTTTCTGCTAGTCTTTCCCTCTTGAAATTCCTCTCTCACTCAATCAATGAACAATTAACTTTGTCTTAATGCCACTGCACAGGCTTGGTTTTGTTAGGTGTAAAATGTCATGTTTTTAATGATCAATATTGTGTATTTTCAGTAATGACTAGAAATAAATGCTGGAATAAATGGAGTGCTTGGACCTGGATTTAGCATTTGTTACACAAGATGGATTTGATGTGGCTGCATGCAAGAAAGCACTTCTGTCTCAGGAGATCTAGCCTATTACAATCTATAAATTGCTATTTACACGCATAGGATGTATGTATACTCTGGAAAGGAACGCTGGGAAGATTGTCCTTTCTAACCCCCCCCCATTTATTGCTGCGTATCTTGTTAAAGTTTGTCTCTGATACCAACCAAAACATAACAATGTAGAGTAAGTGTAAAAGTATGGGGGCTGGGAGCTTATTAGTTGATGGAAAGAACAGATTTAGTTGGGTCTATAGTTTGATGGTTAGGACACAGGACGCAGGAGGGTTGACATATTTCCTGCTGTGTTTCTGGAACACAAATTGCTATATAGCTCTACCACACAGAAAGGCTTTCTAGATTAAAGGTAGAGACAGCGGGATGCAACATTGATGCAATGTCTGCTGAACATATTGTGTCTTTTATGCAGCATTAACAAGCCCGTGTCCTGATTGAAACATTTCTCCCTAAAGTAACAACATTCATAACCATACAGAAAAACATGAGGAAACCAACTCCCTGGTTACCACAGCAGTTGTCATAGCAACTAATATGAGACCTATCAGCACAGGTGAAACTAGGCTTTGGCCAATCAGGGTGCTTGGGAAGAACTACCTGGTGTATAAATGTCAGCAAGGGTCAATTGCTGCCACATCATCTGCAATGATGAAAACACACCATTACTGTCACAAAATGTCATCGTGGCCATGGATCTCAGCCTCTGCTAGTTAGAGTGAATAATGTTTGTTCAGAAGGCAGCAGGTCTGTGTGTGTCAGCATGTTAAGTGAGGAAACAAGAGTAAGTGCTTTTTCAGTGTGAGACAAAAGGCATAGTGGCTGAAACGTTCGCTCAGTATGAAAACAATTATGCTAAGACTAACGATTTCATTTTTTGACAACCTGCCTTTGTGCTCATAATGGCTTTTTTGTTGGCTATTTGTCTTAGTGTGTGATGTGATGTAGTGTATTCATGGCTGTCTAAAGGAAGTTTTAACTACATCTCAGTAAATCACACTATAAGTACCTACCACAGAGACAACTACACTACTGCCAAATGTCATCAGTGTGCAGTGCACATGCTGAATAACTCTATCTATATTTGTGAACTCCTAATATGAAGAACAGACTAATTTGATAGTTTTGTAATTTATTGTACTGTATATGTACTCTTATGTATTTTGTAAAGTTATTTCTTCACGTGTGAAAAGATGCAGTCAATCTGCACTAAGTTCAAGTTTTAAAAAACTGTAAAGGAAGTATCAGAAGGAAAAATAAGAACCAAGGATTCTACATATTAAAAGGGTTTAAAGAATCTAATCTACAATGTTCTTTAAGGGAACCATGAACTATCTATTAATGTTCAACCTTTCTGTGAAACGTAGCAGAGGGGAAATATGAAATTGCACAAAAAGAAAATACTTGAGAAGAATTGCAAAACTCTTCATAGCATAGCTTGAGTAAGTGTCTGTGTTGCACTTTTCCTCTGCTACACAATGTGGTAATTTTGTTTTCATTGTATAATGATTGTAATGGAATCAAACCATGTGTTTTTGATGGAGTACTAATGTGAGATAGCCAATATTGATGAATAAAACATGGGTTTATCAGCGCTGACATAGGTCTTGCAGAATTGCTTGGGGCCTCCCTTCTTCACTGATCTGTCCTTTCCTGTTTTCTTTTGTCTCGTCTACTGCTCTTCCTCCCTGTTCCGTTTGATCTTTTCATTCCAGTCCAGTTCTGCTGTAATCTCTCCCGACCTGTACAGTTCTTTCTCTTGCTCGTTTTTGTTCTGGCCTGTTCTGATCCAGGGGAGGGCTGTTAGCCAGAGTCACTCTGCGCAGGACGATTGATGCCTCTGGCTGCAGAGTGGATGAGAAACACATGGGCAGCCTTCGCTCAACTCTGAAACAGCTGCCTGAACTCGCCTCCCCAATGGAAAACTTCTATAGAACATCATTTTGAAACTTGGCAGGACAATTCTAGATCCATAACTGTGAAAAAAGGCTCTTTGTTCTACTGAGGATTGGGTTGAAAAGACATGTTTGTGTACATGGAAAAATGTAAATTCTTTCTCCACATTAAGATGGTCCAAACTGTGAAATTGTGTTGCAATTAAATTACCTTCCATTGCACTGTGTATGTGTGTGTGTATCTGTGTGTGTGTGTGTGTGTGTGTGTGTGTGTGTGTGTGTGTGTGTGTGTGTGTGCGAGTGCGTGTGGGTGTGTGGAGAGTAAGGAAAAAAAGCCCCATGAATAATGCAAGGGAATAATAGGATCCATACAACAGGCATGTTGGATCACCAACACAACTGATAATGTTCATACACAAGCCCACATACACACTTACACACACACACTCACATATACAGTTTATCCCCCAAGATGATCTCTCTGATCTCAGCGATGCAGGAATATTAAAATAGAATCCATGAAAAGATTTGGCTGAAATCTGTTTCCTGCTGACGATTCCTATTTACTATTCATGTCCATCCAATAAGTGACATCTGAATATCTATGATATATTTTTTCACATGTATTTATTGAATCACCATAATTGTTCCCATGGCATGCAAAGGAGCCAATTTTTTCCACAAAGGAAACACCACAGTGGGTGTCGTAGTCCGCCATGTGATCAGATTATGTGTGTGTGTTTGTTGGTACCTGTTGCGGCGGTGGTCGAGGCTGCAGGTAGGGGCCCTGGGTCGGACCTGGTGGGGTTTGCTGAGGGGGGCTGAAGTATGGAGGGGTTCCCTGCTGCCCCGCCTGCTGCTGCTGACTGTAACCGCCCATCCCCTGCTGGCCATATGGCGCCACCTGCTGAAACAACCAATCAGACAACGGTTAGAGGGAGAAATTGAGGTCATGGCCAATGCTGAAGAAAAACACAACACTTATAGTAGAAGTAATGCAGAGAGGCTGTCAGGTGCACTTTCGGTGCAGGCTTTCACATCAGGTGCCAGGTAATGTAATGTAAGGAGAGTCCGCAAACCTAGATTCCTCTTGGGATAATTGGAAAATAGCAACAAAAACATCTCACATGGGCCAACATGGAAACCCGTGTATCCACTTCATCTGAAGTTCTTTATTTAGCTCCGACCAGGCTGACACTGTCTCCCAGCAGTCCTTCTCCTAATAAACTCTCTCTGCAGAGAAGTCTAACTTTATGTCCTCTGGCTTGCCAAATGCATCCTCCTCTGTGCATTATCCCATTCTCGTTCAGCTCACAGATGGGATGAGGTGTGTTGGATATTACTGCTGGCGCGTCCCAGGCCGTAACCCTAATGAGGGACACATGGATAAGCCGGGGCATTCCAGAGCTGTGCAGTCAAAAAACTAAGTGGCGAGGGCAAAGCAACGCCAAGTACCGATGCTGCATTTCATGGTGGATGTGGGAGAGAATGTGAACAGGGAGCGCGTGTAACAAGCTGGCACCAACACAAATGTAGTCCAAATCCCTCCTTGTCGTTTGTTATGACTACAGACAGCGCCAGGTGCTCCTTACTCCTCTACGGATTTCCTATGGAGGATGGGGTTTTCTCACACACACACACACACACCCACCCACACAACAGCCAAGTACAGACTATTAAACAACATTTAAGACTGATGGTGAGGCAATTTAAAGAGCACTTTTTATGTCACATTTTTTCCCCCATCATGTCATGTTGCCTTTATTATTAAGTGAAGACCACAAGTCCTAAGTCCTGCCACAAACTCAATAAACAAGCACACAGGCTGCAATTTGGGTCGTGTGTACAGCGCATAGTCCACCTCCAGCTTCTACCCTGGGCCCTAAACTTTGAAATGCCCCTTTAAATCTCTTTGGCAGGCTTGGCAAAGTAAAACTCTCACTTAGAGTGATTTATATCTCAAATGATGGTATTACAGGGAACTCCGGCGTGACGTTACTCCTACACTTCTGTCTTGTCACATCAAAAGCACACATCCAGAGTTGTAGTTTTACAGTGATGGTTATGAGTAGGAAAAAGTACTCATGAAAGCCCTGTTGAAACTGATAGTTTGTGTAAAATAAAGGGAAATCGGATCCTGCTTCAAGGGCCAAGTTGAGAGTCATACATTTGAAATAGTTTTGAAGAGTAACTTCCTTTGAGTGGGTGTAAAAAAAAAAAAAAAGAAATCTTCTCTTGACTCTGGCAGAAGCTTTTTGACTCTCTGAATAGAGATGATTGGACTATGTAGAATACTTTTCACTTCAATGGAAATCTGATTAGAAAGGACAGGTCTGTGTGTGTAAAGAGTGTGTGTTGTGCTCAGAGTGTGAGAGTGTCATTAGGCCGATGAGAAAGACAGACAGGGTGAGATCAGTCTAGCTGGCAGAGAGGTTAATAGCATGGCCCCGCTCATGCCAACAGCACCGTCGGATTCATTACTGCCAGCCAGGGCAGCACACACGCACACTTACGCACACACCAACAGATATCATACTCACATACCCATATACTCAAATGAATGCACATGAATCCAAGTTGGCAGTAAATAGGGAATCGTTAAACTAGGAAAGACAACTATGCTTGTATACACACACACACACAAATACACCCACAGCACTGTCTTCAGATTTGGATCAAAGCTGCTCTGATAAAACAGCAGCAACTCTATCCAATGATCAGTGATGACAGCCTAGAATAACACAGTGGGTCTCATACTGTTCTGGGATTGGCAAGGATTAGGTCGCCATGGAGATCAAGACCAGACAACTGTGGGTGGTTTCCATCCTGAGACTAATACAATGACAGGCAGGCAGACAGATATGGACAGACATTGACAGATAGACAGAGGAGTAGATAAACAGATAGGTGTAGGCAATGAGAAAGACAAAGCACAGAAAAAAGGTTATCAGAGAATTGTTCTTTAGGTTTGAGCCGCCAAAAGAAATCGTCTTGGCGCTATAAATATCCTAATAACAAAGCATGAAAGGCATGTGAATAAATAATAAACTACACCAGTTTCTGTTGTCTTTAACATTGCCAGTTTGAGTTGACGAGATTATACATTTAAAAATACACCTGGGACCCAGATAGCAAGCGTGTTGGATTGAGAAAGCTGAGAAAGCTAAAAACAAAAACAAAAAACATGTAACGTAGATTTGCTGTCTTTGCTCTATACTAGGATAAAGTGTCATGTGCTAACTGGACGGGTGAAAATAGGCCTGAATTGAAAAAATTTAATTCTTATTTCATGATTTTTAAGTGGGTAAAATTCCAGAATTCTTACTGCATTCAGTAGTCTACTGGTGTGCAAAATACAGGTGTCATTAGTATCACTGACACTATTTTTGGTAGATTCAGGGCCCTTGCACTGTGCATGCTGGCTCACTGTAATGGCTTACTGGGACTCTTAAGTGGCACAGAGCCAATGGAACATCATTAATCTAATAAGTGCTCTAACACCTGTGTATCTCCTGCTATGACAAGCCAAAATATCTGCTGGTCTATTAGCACTGTAACTTATGTGACTGGCAACTTTTTGCAGCTATACATTTCAAATTTGATAAATATTTAAATATGTGGTGACAAATCTGTATCCTTGACTCATCTAAAGGTGGAAAAACTTTTTTTTTATAAGTCTGAATTGATTCAGTCAAATGCAAATTTAAAGTCAGACTATTTGACTAGTCTAGATTTGGAATCCAGTCAAAATTCTGCACAATTAATTGAACAAAAAACTGAACATGGCTACACACGGGATCGAAGTTGCCCTGTGGTCCAATCGGTTTTCCGACTGGCCTAAAGTTAACAGTGCTGGCAACACCAGCCTTCGGTCCTCCTTGCAGGTTACAGTGAATGTGAATATGCATTGCTTTGGTCAAGTGGTTATATGCCAGTTTAAACTGACATAGACCAGAACTTGGTTGGCTGTGGCTCAGTTGGTACTTGATCCATGTCCGATGTGTCCTTGGGCAAGACGCTTAACCCGAATTGCTCCCACTGCTTCGTCAGCGGTGTATGAATGGGATTAGTTACTTCTGATGGTCACTTAAGATAGCAACCTCTGCCATCAGTGTGTGACTGTTTATATATGGGTAGGTGTGACCTGCAGTGTAAAAGCCCTTTGAGTAGTCAGAAGACTAGAAAAGTGCTATACAAGTGCAAGTCCATTTACAATTTAACTTGATTTCCATTTTCTAGATTTGAATACTGCAAAACCCCCTATGAGATGCTATTAATTCACTATGCTCGTTTAGATCCAGGTAGTAAAGCATTATGGCAGTATCGAAGTAGCCATTGAAGCTACAGCCCCTGCTATTGGCTGGCCACTACTTTACATAGCGTATACTTTACATAGCTTGTGACTAGCATAGAGGCCAGAATTGATTAAATCATTAATGAGTTTAACCGACTAGTAATCCTGGTTCTGACTCTTAAAGCTTCTGATTTTATTTGTTTATATACTGTTTACAAAGCACAAAAAGCATCGTGTGTGTAACAAAATCCAACATCCACGCAGAGATTCAATGCTAAGGACTAAGACAATCAACATTGGACTGCCAGACACAAACTTAACAGGCCATTATCATTTCTATAGATGGATACATTGGAGAGAGTTTATCATTAATTACAAGAAGATGGGTACTTCAACAAAAAACAATATATCCAGAAGAGCTGTTTGTAAAACGTTTGAGGGTCATTCAGGAGTTTTTTGATTACACATTAACCGATTAGCAGAAGTGCTGCATGGCCTGTTTTTATACCAACGCTACAGATTGCTTGTTTTTAATGCTTTTATAACACAAGGCCATTTTTATTATACAAAAAGTACTGTCAATGCAGCCATGAAATCTAGTTATCCTTTTTAATCCGTCTGTAATAGCAACTTTTTATTCTAAAAACTTGTATAGGGAACCTTTAAGAAGTGTCCGCTTTCAGTGTATTCAAGAAGAGAGTCTTGACACATTACCAAGCAAGTAGACAGTCTATCAGGTAAGAAAGCACAAGAAGAAACAGACATAAACAAACAACAACAACAAAAAACAGGCAGAAATACCATCAGTCAGTCAATCAAATAGGCAGAGAGAGAGAGCATGCAGACTGCAGGTCTAACAAGTAGCAACCTGTCACTGTGGCTTTGGGAGGGAAGAAAGAGACATTCAAATGCAGCGTCTGTTTGATCGCTTGGGGCGACTGTTTGAATGTACTGTACCTACTGAGTACATAACAAGCACACTGAAACCTGATTCTCTTTGACTGAGAATATGCTTAGTGATAAACATGCTTGCTGTGCTGTTGCTTATTCCAATAAAAATAACTGCTGGAAGTAGAAAATAAGACCATTTTCTGCCTTTTTCTTCTACTCAGGTGTGTGGAAGTAGAAAAATAACAGAGTGATTTATCCAGAGCGTCTTGGCAGGCGCACAGTGTCAAATAAATGTCTGTAATGAAATGACAACAGATGTGAAATGCTGTAGGGAGAAATGACGCAGAATAGACGTCCTGCGAAGCAAATAATTCACCATAAACTGCAGAAACAGTGTGATGAAAACAAAAGCCTTGGCGGCATAATGAGATACAAAGACACAAACACTTACAAACACGGAGAGCAACTCAATCAAAAATCTATCAAAACAAGAGTCAGATGAAAAGGCAGACAATATCTCCCTGCTCTGCAAGTGGAGAGAATAAATAGCCCTGCTCACCCTTAGCCATGCCAGTGTTGTGTGTGTGTACGCACATGTGTGCATGCCTCAAATCAGCCGTTTAAAGACCTTGCACGGAACAAGGCACTACTTGTAATTCAATCGGGCCAATGAGCAATGGACAGGAATTTTCATAATTCTGCTGGAGTGGCGTTACGGCTGG